GGATTGAACTCAGACCCTTGAGCTTGCCAGGGAAGCATTTATTCTACTGAGCCATCTCCCCAGCCCCTGTATTATTATTATTATATTTTCATTATTAAGGTTTAAGTGAAGTACATTTGCGTGGCCTTAACTTTGCATGAGATTACAGACCACACCTTTATTTTATTTTTCTTTGAGGTAACATTCTAACTGAGAGTTGGGCGTGATGGTGCAGGTCTATAATCCCAGCACTCTAGAGGCAGAAGCCGAAGATCACCAGCATTGACTGGGTGAAGGAGAGATCCAATCAGGCCTCTTGAATGTGCTAGGAACAGAGAAGATGGGTGGCTGAGGAGTGGCCAGCAATGGGGATAAAAGAGGAGGGAAGCAGAATAGGAGATAATCATTAGTCCTGAAGCTTCCAGTCACCGCCGGTCCTGCCTGGAGTACTTGAGTCTCGAGACTGTCATCTGAATTTGTACCTGGTGAGTGCCCAGCCTTCATGATGATGTATCCATCCCTCATTCCTCTAGTGCCCTGTAAAAGCAGCAGTTTCAGGGGGCACATACAATACTGTGACTTCTGTTCAGATAGATAGGCTTACGCTTCGTTAGTGTTCTTTTGATTCAAGTTCTTTGAGTCTTGCTCACCTTGGTTTCAACTCAGGATGTACTTTAAGCTTAGTCTGGGAAGATAGATAGGCGGTATAAGTGCCTTCCTGGCCAGCATAAGATTCCAAGTTTGACCCCAAGTACTGCATACAATGCCAGCCCTAGAACCTTGGGCATGTCATGCTGGCCCCAGAGCTAGGTTTTTTGTGGCACACCTGTAATATCAGCATTGGAAAGGCTGTGACAGGTATATCTGTACAAACCCAAACTGCATATCAAGACACTTTACAAAAAAAATAATTAAAAAGCAGAAAGAATAATTCAGGCTGGTGTGGAACTCTTCTGGAGACCAGGCTGGTCTCAAAACTATGCTGATTGATCTGATCTAGGCTTCATAGTGCTGGGATTACAGACAAGTCCCACAAACCTGGCTTTCATCCAAGTCTTGAAGACCAGCCTCACCCTACGTGGTCCCTCTCCTCCCTGAAGGGGTACATTATATGCCATCAGGGAGCACAGCACTCAATGCTCCACTGCCACTTGGAGATTGCTGCTGTGCTTACTTGAGGTTGACATTTAAGATTCAGGTAAGCAAATTTAAGACTCCACACAGTTGTTCTAACTCCATTATATCTTGATCAGTTTTATGTGCTCACAAAAATTCCCTAATCACAGCTTTTCAGGTCAGGCATTTTTCTGACAGTGTCAGGAGTGGCTAACACCCTGCCCCATTTAACACCCTGATCACTATGACAGTCACATGTCAGCAAAACTCAACAGTGGTTTGGAGACCATTAGCGGAGTCTTAACTTGCAAAACAGGACTTCTCATACTATCTCTGTATTAACCTTTATAAAGATGAGAAGCACTCAGAATTACTGGGGTAAAGGCTTCGTTAGAATCAACACTATCTATGATAGGAAAGCACTATCTGAAAAGAGATACAGGATCAGGAGTCAATAAAGGCCTCTGAGGAGCCAACCAGGAGCCTGGAGCCTGGATACACTGACTGGATTCCCGGGAGGCTGACCACCTGGCTACCTCATCCAGTCTTGCTGAGTCACCTCCCTCGTGAGCACAGCACCCAACCTATCTGCCCTCAGCCAGTATCCCCTGTTACCTGCAACTTCAGGATTCCATCAGTGTTTATTTTTTTTTACAGAATCAAATATGTAAATGTGAGTTTTAGATTTTCATTGTGTTTGTATGCCTCTGTGTGTGTGTGTGTGTGTGTGTGTGTGTGTGTGTATGTGTTTAGCAGAAGGTCTCATTATACACTTTACCATTTTTTATGTATTTAGTACAATCTTCAGGGTCTCACTACCAAGGTTGGACTCAAGGTGATCCTCCTGTTTTCAGCCTCCCAATCACTGGGATTACACGCGCATGCCATAATTCCCAGTGTCAATCACTGTCTCAGTGGGCCCTGGAGGCAAGGCTAGAACAGCATGCCAGGGATTGCACTCCAGTCTCTGCATCTGGCTAAGCAGGCACTTTAATCTGTAGAGCTATCTGATAGGCCTTTACCATGTTTTTAATGCAGTATGTAGCCAAGAAGGGCTCCATCCCATTACAATGCCTGTCATAGCTTCCCATTTGATGAAAATTTAGGCATAGTCCCCCATACTTACCATCAACTGCTACCTTTCAATGCATTAATTTGTTATTAATTTTTGGAACTGTGATTTGAACATAGGAATTTTGCACTGATTGGCATTGCAGTTCATTGGCCAGGTTTTATTATGATGCAAATACTCAGAACAAAACAAACTATTATTGGAAAAAATCCTATGTAGTCCTATAAACTAATATCCACAATTGTTTAATTTAATAAAATGTTGTATAAGTAAATCCATAGAAGGTGCCACACGGTTGGGCAGCATCTTAGGAGTCTCAGAACTTCAATAAGAACAAAACCAAGAATACTCAATATAGCTGCATGCTCTTTTACAACTTGAGATTCAGGAATACTGGTGCCAAAGGAAAGATACAGCACAACTTTCAATTAACAAGAAATGAATAATGCTCTTGGAATACTACTTGAATACCTTCCATAAAAATGGAATTTCACAAAAGTGATGGGATTTTTGTGAACAAATATAAGTTAGGTTATTAAGGAATATGAAACTGCCTCCCACCGATTTTGTGAAAGTATTCTGAACCTCACTCCACAGAATTATAACCAAGGAAATGGAATAGTCATATGGTCCAGTCAATAAGTTACCAATTCCAGCAATGCACCTAACTAAGAAAAATTAAGCAGAGTATAAAATAGATGTCCTGAGATTTCATTTCAAATAATTATATAATCTTGCATTCTCCTCCTTCTTCAGAGCTGGCAGGAGCAGGGACAGATCTGCTCTGTCTCCCTCACCTTTGATTCACTGTCTCATCCATCACCTGGTAGTGGAAACAGAAATTCAATGGGATGGAAATGCAGCACTGTGAGCTGCTGGCTTGGGAATTTCTTAGGCTGTGAAACCTTTAGTTGAACAGAAGTACAGGATAATGTCATGAAGATCAAGCTTAGATTCATTGCCTCTGTCTTTCCTGAAATTTTCCAGACATCTGATGTGGCATTTGCAACTGTATTATTTTGACTTTTCGTCATGGTGATGCTATCAGAAATTTTTCCTGATGTCACTATAAGGAGGGCTAATGCTTTGGGACCATAAGCACAAAGTACATTTGGGATAAACTGAACAATCTGCTACCCTTGTTAGAACAGGGACTTTTGGCTACAAGTTGTTTCCCTAGTGGATGAGATAGGTGTGCTGGTCTTGCCTAAAAGGATATGTCTTTCCCAAGTGTTTTTCAGCACACCTGGCCTTCTAGACTCACCAGGATGAGCAACCAGTCACCAAGAGTACTACTGGACATGTCAATTAAGAGCTTGCTGAAGGACAAGGCCCTGTCCATGGAGGCCATAGGACATTTGCCAGGAGAGCTCTTCCCATCAGTGTTCATGGAGGCCTTCATCAGGGGACACACAGAGGTCCTGAAGGCCATGGTGCAGTCCTGGCCCTTTACATCCCTTCCCCTGGGAGCCCTGATGAACATGAAGAAAGCAGGGTCTCTGGATACTCAGAAGGATGTTCTACAGGCAGAGAAAATGGTGTTGCAAGCTGTGCTGGATGGAATCGATATGCTGCTGCGCAAGGAGGTGTGCTCCAGGTGAATATAACCCAGCTATCCTGAAGCGAATGGTCATGGAATTCCAATAAGGGCAGAAAGTGTCTGGAAGAGTTGGGGCAAAAGGGAGAAGGAGGGTCTTTTGACAGCGATTGCCAGAGGATCAGAGAAGCTTTGGGCTTTGCCATGCTACGTGGGAGTACACTGCTTGAGGGCCAGGAGTGTTAATGGTGGAGGCAGAAGTGAACAGAGCAAGAAGTTCCTGACTCCTCTCACAGGCATCAGGAGTAGGGAATAGGATGGATCCAATGGGATGGGGCAGGAGAAGTAGAACACTGAAGTGTAGAAAGAGGAGCAAATTGTAACTTTTGTATCTGACAAGTTGAGTCATATCCCCTCAGGATTTATCCTGAAACCCTGTACCACATTTTGTATATCCCTTGTTAGAGTCATCCATGTGGATGAGTCATGGTTATTGCTTGACCAATTTGCTCTCTGTGAAAGCCTGAGAGAATGTTTTCTCTCCATGTGACTCTCCGTAGGCACACTCTACATCATCGATCACTTTCCTCTGCAGTCCTATAATCTCCCTGATCAGAAAATTTGGGACACAACTGAGTTACATGACGTTACAGTACAGGTTCTCCTATGTCCTGATTCTTCCCTGACCTTGGAAGGGTATTAATTATTGAAAGTGTCCTACTAATTTGACTTGAAGCTGTCTCATTGCTATTTATTTCTCAATAAAATTGTCGAAAAAATAAATAAATAAAATAAAAAGAAAGAGGAGCAAAGACCATAGCTGACCTCAGAGATGAGGAAGTCCCAGGAGGAAACGGGATCCTGACCTTAATTCTAAGACTCATTATTGGTTCATTCACAGGATGTTGAAACTGCAAGTGCTAGATATGCGGGTCACACGCCAGGACTTCTGGAGAGTCTGGGCTGAAAGGAAATTGGAAAATTGTTCTTCAGAATCCATGAACTGGGGCATAGCACAGAAGATTGGGCCGAGGGAACCAAGCAAAAGGCCTCTGAAGGTCATTTTAGATCTGTGGATCACTGAGGAATGTCTGCGTCCATGGACATCTACCATCCTCCAGTGGATCCGAGAGAGGAAAGATCTGGTGCAGCTGCATTGTCTGCAGCTGTGTATCACTGCCATGTCTTTTCAGTGGGTCACAGAAGTCCTTGAAGTGCTGGAGCTAGATTCTGTTCGGGAGGTCGATGTGAGTCCCTGGTGGCCAATCTGTACATTGGCTCAGTTTGCCCCTTTTCTGAGCCAGATGGAAAATCTTCATAAGCTAATTCTCTGTGACATCTGTGTGCCTGCCAGCATGCCCCCAGAGGAGAGAGAGCAGTTGGTCACTGAAGTCACCTTTCCATTCCTTAAACTTCACTCTCTCAGGGAAGTTTTTATGGACACTGTCGAGTTCCTTGAAGGCCACATGGACCAGTTTCTCAGGTAAGATGTGGAACTTTCTCTGCAGCATCAGAAGGTTCTTTCTCTGTTGCAGAAATATGAGTGAATGTGGACAGTGAGCCACCCAGAGGAGAGGTGACAGATCAAGCACTAGAATATCTCCATATTTATTGCCTTCCCACTCCTGAGTACAGTGGTCCATCACCTATCACAGAAGTTATGTTACAGACACCTCTGGGATAAGAGAAAATCAGCCAAGTAGTGAATCTATCTATCTATCTATCTATCTATCTATCTATCTATCTATCTATCATCTATCTATCTATCTATCTATCTATCTATCTATCTATCTATCATACACCCTTCTCACACACTTATAAAATTTTCCCACATTTTTAAAAGTGTTCCTAATCTTCTTAATCGTTTTATAAACTCATGAACCTATATAATTTTAACCACATATGCATAATGTATGGTACTTCAAAATTTTAGGTGGGCACCCACCAACAAAGACGCTACTACACCTTGAATGGTGAGTGTGGCGAATTAGTTGTGTAGTGACGATGACAGTGAAGGTGAAGAAAATGAGGTGAGTGTACATTACTGTGCACTACCACAAAATCCTGTGATATAGTGAAACATTAATTTTATAAATATTTTTGAAAACCCACGAAACAGTGAGTCCATGAAAGTTAAACCATGAACTAGCGAAGGACTACTGTACTACAAAATGATGTCGTGTAGCCATTGTATTTGAGTAGCTAGACTGGAAAGGGCCACCAAGCTAGACAATCAGGATGTAGATACAACGTGCACAGAGGGCAGGAAAAAGATGTTTTCCTTAAGAAGCCCATGTAGTGTAAGATGCTGTGAATCCTCAAGGCCACTCCTAACCTCCTAGCAGTCACCAGAAGAAGACCTTGCCCCAAGGTGGGCTGATGACTAGATGGTAAGTACAGGAGGCTGAAGCTAATAGCAAGGAATAGAGGGGCAAGAAAGGAACAAGGACACAAACTGCTATCTCTTGCCACAATGCTAATAGCTGTATCCAGATCTTGATGGAATTTTCCTTCCTGCCTCTTGCTTCTTGCCTCTTGCCATCATCAGGAAAAGGTGGTGGCTTTCTGCTGGGAACTTACAAAAGGGGACTTTTGTAGACAGTAAAGAGTTAGACATGCAAGCAAGTAATGGTAAAATCACCCCCAAAATCATTCTGACTCATGTGACACTTAGTCTACCTTGATGTTCCCCACCACTCACTGCTTTTCATCACCAATCACAGGTCTAACTTGTTATCTCTCATTAGGTGCCTGACATCCCCACTGGAGACCCTCTCAGTAACTAACTGCCAGCTTTCACTCTCAGACTGGAACCATCTGCCCTTCTCTGAGAAGATAAGACAGCTGAAACACTTAGATCTGAGTTGTACCAAGCTGACTTCCTTCAGTCCTGAGTCTCTCCAACTCTTGCTGAGTAGTGTGGCAGCCACCCTGACCACCCTGCATTTGGAAAACTGTGGGATCACGGATGCACAGGTCTCTGCTTTTCTGCCAGCCCTGAGCAGCTGCTCTCAGCTCACTACCTTCTGCTTCATAAAGAATTCCATGTCCATATATGCCCTGAAGAACCTGCTGTGCCACACTACTAGGCTGAGCAACTTAACCCTGGAGCTGTACTCTGTTCCTCAGGAGGTTTATGTTATCAGACAGGGTTTTCAGCCACAGATATGGAATGAAGTTTATGAATCACTTAGGGGGATCATGAAGCCACTAATACATCCCAGGAAAGTCTGGTTTTGTATTTTTAATGGTGAATTCTGCTCTACCTGGAAATTATATAAAATGCACCCTAAGCCATGCACTGGGTGTATCCCGGTATAGTGGAATGGTTTCCTTCAAGGTCAACAACAAGCTTTTCTTTCAGTGTGAGTGACAAAAGCACAGGTTGGTAAGCAGGAAGGCCATTTGGGAATCACTAATGAAAGAACAAGTGATTTTTGTGGCCTTGGGTCTCAGACAGGATCAGAAACAGAAGTTTGAGTTGTGAAATGTCAATTTGCCCTTGAGATAACATGTGTGTATGAGTGTAAAGGAATGATCAGAAATAAAGAGAGCTGCTTGTGAATCATCTGGTTTTCAACATTATTATTTTACCTGATTTCCTGGAAAGAATTCATGAATCTTCAGGAACTGAGGAGAAAAAGCGGTCAGATTTCCTATAAATGAGGTTTTGCTTCAGGAACTCCTAGCAGCATAGAGAAATATTCTGTATTGTTCATTCTATTCATTCCTTTAGCTTTCTCTAGTCACATTTTCACTCTGTATTTTCTGTTTTTTTTTTTAAATTTTGTTTTTGCTTGTTTGTCTTTTAGTGCAGGGTCTACTGGGTCTCATTACATAGATCAGACTCCTAGTGATCCTGTTTTCAGCTATCCAAGTGCTGGGATTACAGGCGCCCACCACCATGCCAAGTCTCATTCATTATCTCAGCATGCCCCAGGGGTGTGGCCAGCATGGCACACTTGGGGATCAAACTCCAGTCCCTGTGTCTGCCTATGCAGGCACTTTAATCTGCTGAATTATCTAGCTAGCCCTTGTGTTTTCTGTTTATTCCCCACTACAAACATACCCATATTACTGAACTCATTGCAGACTCTTTCCATTGAGCTGCAATCACAGAATGTTTTACATTTAGACAGATTCCTTCTGAATATCTGAGCTATGCTTTCAATCATCAATCATGACTTCCTAAGCTAGCATGCTGGAACATCCTGGCAGTGGTTGTTGACATTTATGCTCTGCTCCTCCCTCTTATTTATAGGCCTCTTTTTTGATTAATCTAAGGTTGCTAACATTGACAGTGACCAACAATCTAAAGTGGACTTCCTTTGGCAGACAGGAGATGTGACCAGGAGCATGCTTGATGTAAAAAGCCATTGGTGAAACTAAGGTATAAGAAACAAATGAAAAAAAAAAAAAAAAGAAAAGAAACAAATGAAGATTTCCTAGGGAAAATGAGTTCAGGTGACAGGATCCTGTGGCATGAAGTCTAAACTGAAGAACATTCTAAGATTAAGAGGAAATCTCCTTCTCTGGGACCTTTAATGTTAAACTGACACCAAAATCCTCAACATCGGGATCATGTGTTTTTCTAGGAGACACAGTACTGGTGCCTTGGCTTCTGACAAAGTGCTTCCCTACCCAAGGGAAGGCTGCTCCCTGGAGCTTCAGTGATGGTACATCGTTTTCAAACAAAGCAAAAAAAAAAAAAAAAAAAGAGCAACAGAAACGCAGCTTGGAGATAAGGCTTATTGCTTGAACACCTGCGCCACAAACCTCAGCACAAATCAGAAAAGTTCTAATAGATCTTTTAAGTTTAGTTTACCTCAATTTCTGAACAACTTTTTATGCAGACAGAAGTTTCCTTTACTCATATTAAGCTCATTCAGAAGGAAATACTCAGCTACAGTCTGTGAATCCATCTTGCCTGGGAAGTGTCTCCTGTGGAAGACTCAGGACACTAGATGCAAAGTCCATAGGTCAGACCCACTAGACTGACAGGGTCTTGGGATTCAAAAACTGTTTTTTCTTCTCCAGCCTTTGCAAAGAGAGTTGGAAATCGCTGATCCACTCATTTCTCCATAGGACCTGCACTGTCAGCTCTGCAGCAGCTCCCACCTTTGGATTTCACCTTTATAAGCCAGTTCCCTCAGCTGATTTCTTGGAAAATACATCTTTTACCACTTGGGGCACCAAAGCCTAACTGGTCCTCCCTGCCCTCAGGGATGGTGTTGGAATTTATGTGTCACTATTGAGTTACATGTTTTCATTCATGCTTGTAATGTTAGCAGATTTTCAAGCTAAGATAGAATGATGATAAAGTGTGTTTTATCTGTATGTTTCTTCCTTGAAAGAAGATGTACGGGGGCCAGGGAGATGGCTCAGTAGAATAAGCACTTCCCTGGTAAGCGCAAGGGCCTGAGTTCAATCCCTGGTTTCACCAAAACAAACAAAAACAAAAAATCATAAGAAGATGTAGCTATGTATATCAGATTGGTCTTCAACTCATTGTGAAGCCCAAGCTATCCTCAAACTATAACAGGCCTGCATCCTGATTGTGAATCAAGACTGGGCAACATCTTAAGATCCTGTCTCTTAAGTTTAAAATATCCTGTGTATGTTTCTTATCACTTCCTGAGTTCACTCACTAGTGTATGGGAAGAAAGAGACACCCCTGTCTCCGTGTAGCAACTTCCACTGAGTTCCTTGGCCTCATAGAGGGGAAAATCTCCCAACCCTGCAATTACAGGATATCAGTGATGTGTTGTTCAGAGGATCCTGCTAGAAACACCCAGTTACCTATGCAGAGAACTTTTTACCTCCCCTTGTCACAGGGGGCCTATTGCCTTCAACATAGCCTTGAGCATCTCTCTCACCTAATGAGGCTCCTCTCTGTCACCCTGCTTGAGCACATGATATTTTATGTTAGGTGACAAAATCTCAAGTCACCGCTCCATACAACTTTCTGATTTGTTCCCAGTAGGAATACAACCACTGTCTTTATAAAGCTGTCCCAAGCCTGAAATATTTTTGTAGTGGTGGTTCTGGAACTAAATTTAGGGTCCCTAAATTAATCTACATTTTCAGTTTATATTTATTTTAGTTTTCAGTTTGAATAGTGAATGTGTTCTGGCTGATGAACTCAGAGACTTTCCACTTACCAGCATACCCAACCCATTTTCTTTTTTTTTTAAATTTATTCACTGTTTTTTCTTTTGTATTTTCAGAAAGGATCTACAGAGTGTTCAGTCTCACTACTAAGTTAGACTCCTAGTGATCCACCTGTTTAAAGCCTCCCAAGAGCTTGGATTACAGGTGTGCGCCACCACACCCAGTCTCAATCGCCATCACAGAGTGCCCCGAGGGTGAGGCCGGCACGGCAGACCTGGGGATCAAACCCCTGGACCCTGTGCCTGCTTGCAGGCACTTTAATACTCTGAGCTATTTGGCTAGCCCTATTTTCTTTTATTTCAAGATTGAGGTCACTAGGGGTGGTGACACTTGCCTATAATCACAGCACTCAGGTGGCTGAGCAGAAAATTCACAGAAAGTTCCAGAGCAGCCTGAGCTAAACAGTGAGTTGAAAACAAATCCAACATGAACTATACAGTGAGAAAGTATATCAAAAAAGGAAAACACAAAGCCTGAAGTCTGGCTAAATCAGTACCGTGCGCAGATTGGACTTTAAATTTTGGCTGTGCTGTCTCAGCCTTTTGAAGCGCTACAATTTTGTATATCCACCAAAATACCTGACTTATCCTATCTAAGGCAGTTCTGGGGATGAAAACTACTATGGAATTCAGGATGTACCAGCTAAACTAATTAATATGGGACCCATAATTTCTAAGATTATTTCATAATAGTCAGCCAAGGCCAGGGCTGTAGCTCATACTCATAGTGCCTGCCTGGCAAGCACAATGGAGAAAGTTAGCTTTCTGGTACCAAAAACAAGTCCCCCAAAGACTGAAGTGCACAAGAGTGCAAGAAATCTATCCAAACACTGAAGACCCAAAGATTCCAGCTGAAGGCCTGTATCCTAAGGCAATGGCCTGCTTGGGCACAGCTAAAGACCTAGACAATGCCCCTCGCCCCCGCCAAGTTCAAAGGGCGGCCTAACAGCCAAGAAAATAATCTTACCAATGTCTGTGTCATCAATCACACAGACATTGGTGAGATATAGCCTGGGCATGGTTGCGCGCGCCTGTAATCCCAGCTCTTGGAAGGCTGTAAACAGGCAGATCAGTACGAGTCTGATCTTAGTAGTGAGACCCGGAACACCCTGTAGACACTTCCCTAAAATACACACACACACACACACACACACACACACACACACACACACACACACACACACACACACACACATCAGTATTTGGGGTGGAGAGCTGTTGCCAATGCATCAGGGCCTCACTTTTGCCTGCAGTGCAGGAAGTAAAATGGTTTCTTGCCAATAATATGACTTAGCACACTGGAGAATACTAGGAACCAAGAAGTAGCATGTATGAGGGCTGCTTGCCTACACTGAAGAACTATGGGGTGGGGGGAAGACCCCTGGTGGAAATCGGCCCCATTTTCATGTCTCATTATACTTAGTGTGTAGCATAGGGATAGAAAAGAAAAAGTAGGTGGTAGGATTAATTCAGTGCTGAATGTGCAAAGAAGAGGAAACAGGTAAGCAAAGAGACAGAACTACAAGTTAGGCAAGGAATGCTATGTTACTATCTGAAAAGTAATTAGTTGCTGATATATAAATATGGAATACCTGTCATTTAGAAAACCATAGATTGTGAGGTTCATACGTTTAAATTTAAGTTACCATCATCTTTACTTTTGGTACATAGGTGATTTTGGTCATATTCCAAGTTGTATTATCGCATTTCATTCCATGTAATTCTCCACCCAATATGTTTTAGTCCACATTTTAATCTAGTCTACCTAATTGTTACAATATAGCAGATAAAATAATCACATGTTTCAAATCAATACCAGAAGTGGTGCCTGCTCAAAGTAGACGTTCAATAAATATACAGAATAGATGACCAAGAATTACCATGCATCTATAGTCATATATAAAGCCTTGCATCTCTGAATAATGGTTTTGATATTCTTTCAGACAGACATTAATGAGCATA